GCAACTTTGCGACCCTTCACCCGGGCATCCCTTGGTTCTTTTTTTTAATGGTACCGATTCTAAAGTGGCAGTAGTTCAGTCCAAATGGTTCGTAAAATCACGCTATGCGGGTTTAGCATTCAATGTGCACTCGGCAATATCTGTCCTTGATCGCGATAGAGTACATGCAGACCTACAACGACGAGGATCTCCGCTAAATCAGCTAGTGTCCATTCATGTTGTCGTAGGAATTTCAGAGTGCACCAGGCTCATGTGTAAGTCCAGTTTAAACACTGTACCTCTGCCCAAAATATTTCTGCGGTTTGAGCGGAAAATAAAAACATGTCTGAAATTCTCCTCTCCGCCGCACAAATCCCAGTTCAGTGACCACGGCACAAAAAAGCCTTTGGTCTGTTGCAAAACTTTGACAGGGCACATATATATATATATATATATATATATATATATATATATATATATATATATATATATATATATATATATATATATATATATATATATATATATATATATATGAACGAATATGTGCAGATGAATGAACCGTACTTAATCCAATGAACCAAAGAATCAAAGTTTCCAGGAACCCGCCGAAAGCCAAAAATTGGCGGAGCCAATTTTTGTTTACGTGAATGCAGCGGAGCGGCTAGTCGACAGATCATAATTATATTATTATATCTTTAATGGGCTTGCTTTGGGCTTTCTGTAGAGCCACAGAAAGAAAATTTACCTTAAGTACAGACAAAGTAATGACCTGTCAAATTTGACCGAAATTTGACCGAGTTTGACATGTGTTTTAGAAAACAATCAAATTCCTAAAACTATTTGAATACATCAAGGTATCTTTATAATACCTATTAAATTAGGGGAAAAATTTAAAAGGGTGTAGAGAAAACAATAGCGTCAGCAGAGGGTGTCAAACACGCGACCTGCGACGGCAGGCAAAAACACTAGTTTCTGCCACTGCGGCTTCTATGGCTCGTAACTCGAGAACAAAACATCGGGAGAACATGCGGTTTGCGCCCTCCTTCATTTGAGAAATACCCCCAAAACATATATATTTTTTTCGTGAAAATTAAAAATTAGACACTTTTAGCCTGCCCGATTTGAGATGAAATCACTATATATATACTGTATATATATATGTATATGGGCGGTTCCATTTCGATTCAGGCAACGAGGTGCAGTCGTATCTTTTATTTTGCTTCAAATTTTTTATATTTCATGGCATATGCAATGTTCCCAGAAGAACAATTCTTCTTATTTTAATGTCCCGACATCTTTAGTTTCTGCGAACAAAAAACTCAAAGAAGCGGGAAAGAACGACGAGCTTTTGACGACTGTCTTATGTGGCGTTTTCGAATCACTCTCAATCTCAAAGTTTTCAAAAGAGAGCGTCTATATTTTTTAATGTGATAGTTTTGCAGGTTGGTAAAACATTATAACTACTATTTATCATTCGTCGCTCCAATCGTCACTCCATTTTTTGTAAAAAAGAAAAAAACTCTAAACATGCCTTCGCGAACAGCTGTTACCTAAACTGCGGATTTTGTTTTAGTCGACTATGTTTAGTATTGCTTTTTAAGATAATACCACGTGTAGAAGCTTTCATTGCCTTCTACATTGTGCAAATTTTGTGTCTTCATCGTATACGAGTATTAAGAAATAATTTATGAAACAGAAAAGGTTTTCACTTTTTCTTCAATTTCAGCACGCTGTATAAAAAAATCATTTTCTAATTTTTTTCTAAACCCGCCCGTTGTTTGGAGAGTAAAATAAAAAAGTTAAAAAATAAAGAGTGGTAAAACTAAATAAAAGTTATTTTGTTGTGTTATCAACATGAATTCGCATCAAAAATAAAAAAATTTCGAATTTATAAATCTAGGCTTCCAATAGGAAGTGTATTTTACTCTCACGTTTTACAATATTATGCTTTGACATTTCTAGCATAGTATAGATTATGTAACGGATAGATCATGTAGCGCATAGGGTTCCATGATTGGAGAGGCTTGAGGCCTCTCCAGTTATGGCAGCGGCGCAAAATTGTCTGAAAACCCGCTTTCGGCAGTTGCAATTTTATGGAGTGTTTAGACGTTTGGAATTGCAAACTTGTTATCAGACGCCTAACGACATCAATGTCTCATATGATTGTTTACTAAACGTCCGATTCTTATAATAAAAAAATAAAATATACAGCTATAACTTATAAACCCACCGTCGGCATTTGCTCTTGTTTAGCATATTTAGAGGCTTATAAAACTCAAAACCAGTGCATATACCTCTAACGGAATGTATTATGTCTAGAAGAAATGTGTGAAAAGAATGCGACGCGAAAAAAAAATTCAAGAAATATCTTTTTTATATATACAGCGTGTTGAAATTGGACAAAAAGTGAAAGCCTTTTTTGTTTCATAATTTATTTCTCACTACTCGTATATGACCAACGCACAAATTTGCTTTATTTGGAAGGCAATGAAAGGTTCTATACGTGGTATTATTTTAAAAGCGATACTAAACATAGTCAAATAAACAAAAAAATCAGCAGTTTAAGTCACAGTTGTTCGCGGAGGCATGTTTGGGAATTTTTACAAACAATTGGAGTGACGAATAATAAATAGTAGCTATAATGTCGTTTTATCTACTTGCATATATATCACAACAAAAAAAAATATAGACGCTCTCTTTTGAATATTTTGAGATTGAGAGTGATTCAAAAACGCCACATACGACAATCGTCAAAACCTCGTCGTTTTTTCCCGCTTCTTTGAGATTTTTTTTCTCTCACAAACTAAACATGTCAGGACATTATAATAAAAAGCATTGTCCTTCTTGGAACGTGCGCCACGATATAAAAAAAAATTGAGGCAAAATAAAAAATACGATTGCATCTCGGTGCCTGAATCCAAATGAAACCGCCCATTCATATATGTATATACTATATGTGTGTGCGTGCGTGCGTGCGTGCGTGCGTGTGTGTGTTTGTGTGTGTGTACGTGTGTGTGTGTGTGTGTGTATTTACTTTGAGCTTCTGCAGGAATATAAATGTTTAGCAGGAAGAGAAGGCAGCTCAGTATTGAAAATTACCGTGTAACCGAGCAACGCAGTAACGTGCGTGTTATTACCAAAGTAATTATTTATCACTAAATTTGTTTTAAAACATAAAATATTGATAGGCCAATTCATCCGATTACTGAAAACAATGCGGACGAAATGATTACTGTACATCCGTATTTTCCGGGCTATAGTCAGCGCCCGATGTAGAGTCCGCATGCCGTGCATAGTCCCTACCTGGTGCTAATAGTCGACAGGAAATTATTCTCATACATGGCCCACCTTGACAAACTTGTATGTTCTCTTAGCTCACAATGAAGCTTGTATTATACATAAATCATCATTAACATACTCTTGCATTCTCAAAATCGGTTAGGTCTCCTCATAATGAACCATCTTGAACAACAAAATTCCTGTGTATTAGCGATGTGCGCGGCCAAAAGCGTCGCTGTGGTCAGCTTTCCATGATTGGCCAAACCATGGGCATATGAGCATTGTCAAACTGTCAACTTTGATGGTGTTAGTTTCGGATTGCGATGGCTCCTAGCTTCTACTGTGCTTTTTAAACACACCATCGAACTCGTCGTCGCACCCGATGGTAAGTAGCCAGGGGAACAACTGGTGACGTCACGGCGAGGCAAATCCCAGTCGTGACGTCACAGAGAGAAACCATAAGAGGGCGCCACCGAAACATCTCGGCGCTAATAGACCCTTTCAGAAATTCAGTGCCATCTGGTGGCTGAAATGGCGGTTTAACTTTTGCCATACGAATGGCGGCAATTAACCCGTAGCCTGCAGTATTTTATCGGGCACCGTCACTTTTGCATGTCAACGGCAGACTAGAATAAACTTTTCGCTATACAGGTTTTTCTGGATAATCTCTTCCAGTGTCGATTCTTACAACGATGCAACCAGTCAGAACGAAGCGCCAACCCAGACAGACGCCTTGATAAAGTTCTATAAGTCAAGGGGCTTCGAAGTCGATTTTGTGCCACTAACAGGTTCACTGGGCTCGAATTAGAGAAATGAACACTTACGCAGCACTTGCCTTCAATTCCGGTTTCGCAACGTGCTAACGTCTAGAATCTATAGGCCTCGAATCCTCAGCTTAGGAGTATCTTCAACATGTTCCTTCATCAGTAGATAGAAAGCCGCCATTGGTATGGCGCATATGCCATTTTTCAGATGATGATGATAGTGATCAAAGTGGCCAGACTGAATTTCGGAAAGGGTCTATTGCGCACGCGTAGGTCCCCACAGCCAGAAATTTCAACTTTTAAACATGTATAGCCCGGAAAATACGGTAGATCCTCTCTCGGCAGTGCGGGTTCACCCACTTCAATTTTCTCGGTGATGTCAAGAGGCATTTCTGGCTAAACATTCTTCTATTTAAACATAGTAGACACCGCAACTCCAACAAACGACCCGCACCACGACACGGGCAGCATAAGTGATGAGAGGTAGCGACTCTCACGAGACATTCCGATCACCCTCCGCCCAAGCACTTGCTTTCCCCTTGCTTCCTGGTGCAGAATGCATCGTAAAGTTCTAAGGCAGTTTTAAATACCTATCCCCAAGAATTGCTCTTTGTGTTAATTCTGGGTCACATGGTCCCAGTGCACTACCAGATTGCCCGGCGGGGACTCTTTTACTGACCACGCGTGTTATCTTGCTAATATGCATGACCATGCATGTTATCTTGCTCGCTTATTATCGTTCAGCGGCCCCTGGAATGTTTTGGCGGAGTGCCGAAAAAGGCCCGCGTCCATACGGAGCGCGGTCGGCGGCGCAAAACCGCGAAGCTATCGCTGTACTAGCATTACATACCTTAAGTCACGCCATTCTGCGTACGCTCTAGTTTTTAGTGCTGGGATGCCGGCAAATGTAATCAGCGTCTTCATTGGGTCTGCCAGAATGTATAGAACTAATGTTGCCTTGCTTTCCAGAAATAACCACGTCAAGCATGGTTTTGACTATAACCATGAGGGAGGCGCTGAAAGTTACTACTGCCGCCTTGAAATTTGGGAGACGCCATTTGAAGGATGTTTCACCTCAGACAAGGTTAGAACTCGTAACCTCTTTGTATTGTTGCTAGCGAGCAAGATGAGTGTGCAATATCAAGGTGCCACTGCGTAGATGATGGAGTCGTCGAATCAAGGGAAAGGTACACACATTGGTTCCAATGACATGCAGGTTAAGAGTTCAAAGGAACTTTCTCCCGTCCCTCCTCTCTTCAGCAAAGGAAATGCTGGAGAGAAGGTTGCATCCCGTCCAGCGTTTTCTCTGCTAAAGTGGTAAGGGGTGGAACCCCCTGAAATCTTAGCGTCTTACCGACTATAGAAGGTATTTCCTGAAGGCCTGCGAGAACTTTTGGTCTGAACAGCTGATTGTGCTGGGCTTCTGATATGTACACGTGGGGACAAAGTCGTACCGAAATACGGCGACTATGATTGGCCGGCTCCAAGGTCAAGTGCGGCGGCGGCGGCCAATCACGGCGGCCGGATTTCTTACCGACGTTTTCACCAGGTGTCCGGATTAGGGTCCCTACACGGGCTCATTATCTGGGAGTGCCTCAAAGCAACTCCGCTTCATTTTTTCTTTTTTCAGAAAACAGTGCAGTCGTCTTCAGTATCACCTAGGAAGACCACGCGTCAAATATTACGACCTAGTTCTGTCTAAATATTTCTTAAACAGTCCGGCAATTTTTGCAACTCGCCAAGTTGCCGAGACCGGTTGGCTTGAGCGGGCGAATTAAGGCGGAACCAACAGCGCAGTCAAGGCTACGGCGTGGGCGTAGCAAACATTGAGCAGAACGTCATCACCATTGCCCCTTTTTGTTTGTGTTTACTTCTCTGAGGGAGCGCAACGGGTGACATCAGCAACGTTTCCTCTCAGCTCTCAACGGTGTCCGCGTGATTGGCGTAACGCGTCTGCGCAGTGCGATTCTTGGGAACCGTCCGGCCGTCTCGCCGTGGTACCGCCTTTACCGCTGTCTCCCGCGTCACAATTGCCTCGTCGTCTCACCGTTTGTGATTACTGTCTCTCGGAGTTTCGTTCACACTACGGACACGACGTCCGCAGACTTACGCCGCAGCTGTGTAGACGTCGCCGAATGTCGTAGACACCAAAACGGGGTGAAGAGTGCGGTGCAGAAGACATTTGCGCTTGGTGCACACTCCCGCCCCGGTCTGCCCGTCGGTGCGTGTAGAATCACGTGACATCTCGTACCACATGACATTCATATTATTGGTGGCCGAGGCCAATGTTGCCGAACGGAATTAAAGCTTCAGTTTCGATTTATCTTCTTGTCTAAAAATTAGATTTAACAATACATATCCTATTTTTTGGGAAGCAAATGACGTAGTGTCGTTTGCTAGTGATTTTTAATGAGAAATCACTCATTATCACGAAGTCTTTGTAATTGAGCGAAGTTTCCCTTTAAGGTGAGCAACGGAGTTGGAGACTCTCTTGTGCACGCGACACGCACCGAAAGTATAGGGCACAGTCATCCAGGAAAGCGGTGATTTCAGCCGCCATGGGTTACCTTTACGTAACTAAACCTGATTCTGAGCCACTGAACTTGGGAACATTGAATACGTAGAAATTACAGGCGGTATGTATAAAAAGTAACAAACGGTGAATATCGGTTGTGACTTTTGTCATGCAACGTCGCCTCGAAACGTACGCACGCCGCTGAACGTCACTCTACAAGAAGGAAAAGAAGGTTTAATTCTAATACTCTAACTGTTCAATGCCACCAGAAAGTCAAGAAGAGTGTGGCTTAACCCTTTCATCTTTCGCTTTCAGGAGTTACAGTTCAAACACGCTGGGAATCATGGAATCATCCCATGCTCTGAGGGCTGCTTACAAAGCGCACTTCCTGGCACGGGCCTACGTTGAAGCTTATGGTGTTAAAACCGGAGAAGTTTCTACTTTCCAAGTGGAAGAAGTTCACCGCATTTTTCAATCGGGTAAATTGTGTTTCAGCATTCGCTATGCTAATTAATCTATGTCCAAGAGTGGTGCATACCTCCCGAGATAACCGATGGAAGAGCAAGTGGATTTTACTTTTTATTTGTGTGCGTGCTTGCGCGCGCGCGCGTGTGTGTGTGTGTGTGTGTGTGTGTGTGAGCGCACTAAACGTTGTCTTCACAAACTAGCAACACCGACTTTGGGGGTGCCAGAGTCCTTATTATCTATGGTATTTTAATTAGGAAGTTGGTGAACCGTGTCCGGCCATGTAGAATGTGTGTTGTGTGCCTCTTTCGTTAGCCGGAAGTCAGCCCGAATGGCAGTCTGGTGTCTTAGCTGTAAATGAGCTATTTAGCCAGTGCAGTACCACTGCTCATCCAGATCGAAACGGGCAGGGTTGGAGATTGAACCCAGGATCCCTGACGGCGAACGCCGCTTGCCGGAGCTCTAAACTTGAACTTGCGCGGCTGCGAGCGATGAGAAATAGAACTTTCCGGAAATTCCCACCAGGCCTGTGGTCGAAAGCGGCGGGGACCCCTCTGCCTACGTTTCTACCGCTCCTTGTTTTCATGGGCATCCCGCACGCGCCGTACATCGGAAGGCCGTTGTGCGTCCAAACGACGATGGGAGACGCTGCGTGTTTCCGGAATGGTTTATCTAGCGGGCTCCACGGGTGCGCGCACAGAAGAGCAGGTTCCAGTGCACCTGATTTGATCGCAATTAGGTCGCTGCCCTGATGTTTTTGCAGTTGGCAGCTGTTGTACACCCCGTTCCCCTTTACGTCCGGTCGCAGCGGATGCAACGCGCCATCGCAGCCAATCCAAGGCCGTGCGGGTTTCCTGTGACCTTCGAGAAGAACCGCCGAGACGCGTGGCGCAAAAGCAAAGCTGGATCGGCCGCTGGGATGGCTCGTTCGCTGCGGCCGAACGTGAAAGCCCATACCTTTGAACGCGTTTGAGTGCGGTCGCTTGCGGTACGACGCGCGCAGTCCCGCAACGCTCTGTAGCGCTCGACCAATTAGAAGCAAAGAAAGGAGAGGAGGGTCACGTGTTCGCTCGCGCCACTCGACGAGGCGTATCCGGTTCTCTGCCCGCGGAACTTGCTTGTTCGTAGCAGCAAACACAGCTGCGTCGAAACGCAGTCGATCGCAGTCAAGAGCAGATGAGAACGAGCTCTCCTCGCTTGCTGCACACTGGCAGTGAGCGAAATCTACGGCAACACGTCGGACACCGGCGTCAGCGCCGACTTGGCAGATTTTGGGACGATTCTGCTGGCTTTCACGACTTCTGTCAAGCTTGAACCGTCGCAGCCTTGGAGAAACTGTTTTCCGTAGTTCCCACCATCCTTCGAACGCGGAACCGGATGAGCGTTGCTGCCGGGCTTCTGATTGGTCTTCTGCAACGCAACGCTTTGGAAAGTTGAGCCAGGTTCTGCTCTCTTAAAGCACCGTTCGCACACTTGCAACCGAGTACGACCGAGAGAGACAAGACCGCTTTCTAAGCCTCTTGCGACGGCGGACGACCAGATGCGCTGCTGCGGACAACAGGTCCTCCACCGTGGCAAGAGGCTTAAAAACCGGTCTTGTCTATCTCCGTCGTACTCGGTTGCAGGTGTGTGAACGGCGCTTGGAGACCTGCTCGACCGCACGCTTCTGTCCAGCAAGCGGCCGCTTTCTGCCGCGAGGACGCCGTTCCGCGCTCAAAGCGGTCAAGCAGAAATGTGCGTGTGGACCTTGCAGAAACACTGAAATAAAGAAAATTAAGTTTTCAAGGCGCTTACGTAAAACACGCATTAAAAATAATTCCACGAAAAAAAGGTACCGCAATTTTTACGCTGCAGTACGCTGTAGTAAAGTGGTAATCTGAGCTAGTTGGTACACCGCTAAGATTATAAACAGCGCACGAAACGTCGAAGGAAGGGAAAGGGACAGTAGAGGCGGAACAGAAAGCGTCAGTTCTGCTGTCCCTTCCTCATCCTCCGACGTTGTGTGCGCTGTTTATTCTTAGTAGTTAGCACTGCGGTACGCAATTTAGGTGGAGGTTACCGACCCACACAAGGCACCACGTATACAGAGCAGTGGCCTCGCCAATGGTTTTACTGCGGTTGATCAAACGGCATTTCATCGAAACGCATTTTAAGAAACTGGCTCGTTTGATTCAACTTTGGTTTATAGAGACAGCGAAGCCTCAGTTTAGAGAAATGCCGTTTATCAAAAAGAAGACCGTGCTTAAAAAGAGGCTCCCTTCGTGCGTGTGCTTTAGCGCGTGCTTTGGCGTGTGCTTTAATGATGCACAGCAGTGATGCACAGGAGGCTGTGCCCATGATTATCTTGACCATGCGCTAGGGCTGACAAAGCACGGGGCACGCGCTGAATTCAAGACATTGTAAAGACTCGTTCAGACAGTTGCGTCGTTGAGCACAGCGCCCATACCCAGTGGCTCGTCGTCGCCATAGCAACAGCTCGACGTAAGCAGTGAAACGCGACTGTGAACGAGCTTTTAGAATGTCTTGAATTCAACGCGGGCCCTGTGCATTAACCCCAGCGCGCGGCCACGATAATCATGGGCATAGCCTCCTGTATACTCTATGCCTGTCGAACGGAGGAAAATACATTGGGGGCAGCCGTCCGAGAAGTTGCGCGCCGCCGCCGTTGCTTCAGGATGGGGGCGCCACCTTCGTTGGGGCAGGATAGATAGCCTCCTAGATTAAAGAGAGGGTACACCTGAAACTTGAACAGACCATTTGGAGCGTTTGCAATGTAATGGCGAACACCTCCTGCGGCGATTGGTCGCCAGTAGAAATGCGCTGCGTTTGCGTGTAGAGAGAGGAGGAAAGCAGGAAGTAAGCTAGGAGTAGACGTTAGCAGACGATCAACGCTTTGGTCACCCTCTCGCAGCTCGTATTAAAAACGCTGCCCATAAACCACGTGACTACGATCGAGCTGTTGGAAACTCTCTCTCTAATACAGGCTCTCAGGAGGCTACCGCCGGGGCTTTGGGTGGGACGCGTCGTCTGCTCGTGCACTAGAGACCTTGGATTAGTGTTTCGAACTGCTCGATCGGGAACAGCTTTGACCTTGAGCGCCATGGTGGCTACCGTGACGAAGCATCTGCGTGGCTGTGCTTTTCTTTGCGTTTTATTTCTGAGGCGCGTGCTTGATGACGTAGTTTTATGAACATCTTTTGGGGCCAACGCCGACGGCTTTTTGCGTAATGGGACAAGTAAGGCTTTCGGCTTAATAAGGTCGAAAATAAATGTGCTCTCAGCTGGCGTGCTGGATATAAAGTATTTGACGACGTGTTACGCCGATAAGGGTGGACTTAGCTTATGCCACAAACACTTGTGTCCTATTATCGCTTGTACTATTGAGATCGCCATAAGATATTCGTAGACTTGTCGGTATATTAAACTCAAAAGTGCCTGGGTCACCAGGTTTTTCGTCGGTAACTTCAGCTTCATCTCTCGGCCGGGCGAAAAAAATTGCGCGGACGATCACTCGACGTGATACGAATGGACAGCAGCAGCTGGTGTGACATTATGAGAATATTGCGTCATGATTTACTTGATATTCCGGTGATGCCGCGTCATGTGGTTTCTCACGTAAGCCATAACCGATCACACACAGAACAGCTAGAGGCAGGCACGTTCTCGCGGACGTGCTGCACAATTTGTTTGGTCACACCATTGCTGTCCATGTTTCGCTCGATAACGTTCTCTTCTACGTGCCGCCTCACGTTTACGTACATCATGATTTCGACGTCGAATGCGTTACACCCAGCGTGAGACCGTCGGTGCCTACACATCGGTGAATTCTCAGTCACGGACGCGTTTACGCCGTCAAGCAACCGCTATCTGCTCCGCTGTATACTCTAAAAAAGGGTGTAGTTGGTACACCCATAGAGGGTGTAGGTACTGCCACATATACAACACCCATAAAGGTGTACCAGTACATCTCCAAGACGATGTGCATACATACACCTCTTTAAAGTCACCTGTGCACCCTTTTATACACCTTCAGAATTCAGGGGTGCACAAATACACTCCATATTGTGTTGTGTAACTACTCCTTTCTTACACCGTCACTCTCATTTCGGTGTACAGATACACCCCAGTTTATGGTGCACAAGTACTCCCTTCTCTGCACCCACGTAATTTCTTGGGAGTAAACATACACCCACCAGCAGTGTTTACTATTACACCGATGTTTACACCCACCCCGCTCGTTCCCTCGGCGATCTAAGGCTTGCCTGCAAATCCTTGGATCGCCGAAGGAACGGTCGACCAAAAGCGAGAAAAAAACGACTCTTACGCCCTCTTTGTATCGGGCGGGGCCGCTATTCTGTATCCCACCCCGGCAATTCCTAATGTGGACTCGTGAATTTACATGATGAGCACGAAACACGGCATGTGTGTGGGATGCTTCTTTATTATAGAATCGCAGAGAAACGATAAGTAAGCGATTGCTCGCCACGAAGCTGGGTCGATAAAAACTCTGGTCTGCTTTCCATAGGTCTTGTTCAGGGTGGGACTCTGGTGGAAGTGGGCAGCGGTCCTTTGGTCTGGTGCTCGCTCTTGGCTTCCAGACGATTCAGGCACATCGTACTGAGCGACTTACTCGAAAACAACAGGCTTGAGATCAACAAGTGGCTCAACAAGGATGAAGATGCCGTCGACTGGACCTTCCGTGCCGAGCAAGTTGCTGCATTGGAGGGATACAGGTATAGTTATGCAATAGGATGTTTTCCCGTGACGTCATTCTGTAATTTTGTCGTTAGGTAAGTAAGTGAGGCTGTGTTTTATTTATTAGAAGAAGAAAGAGAGAGAGAGAGGCGGGTTCTTTGACCTTCGTAATTTGTTGCGGGAAGGAAAGTGGTTGGGGAAGGGAGTTAAATTCATTTGGTAATCCCAGCCGACTTAATGTATAGTCGACGAGCGAGTCTAAGATGGCCTTCCTGTGTTCGGGCACGCCCTCTGGGAGGATCCAGTCTCTATGATGGTTACGTGTGTTACGTGTCAGCGCTATGAGACCTATTGCCCTCTGTGTACTACCGATTCGATGATGTAAGATGCATCTTAGGAATGCTTACCTTCGGCATGCTACAGCCCAAGTAGCGCAAAGTGGGCTTTGAGCTCTAAAAGGAAAACCGTCGTGGGTCCCATTTGGTCAGCCCACCTGGTTGCCTCGGGGGACCCACAGATGGCCCACTTGGGCAGCCCATATGGGCCCTCCTTGTGGGACCGACAGTGGACCTACTTGAGCAGCCCACGAGGGCCTCCCTTGTGTGGCCTACAGGGGACCTAGGTGGGCAGCCCACAAGGGCTTCCCACCCACAGTGGGATAACCCACATGACCCGCGGGAGCCGCACCTCATTCGGGGTCGTTTCATCACTCCCCAGATGATTTTAAACCCTTTATCATTTCATCATTCTCCAGACTATGTGGGATCTATTATCATTCTCTGTCATGTGGGGTATTGTACTGTATTCTATTTGGGCATGCTTTAACGTTACCCCTGGCACTGTGCCTCACTTCGTGCGAGACACGTGTCATTTGCCCCTTACTTCTCTCTAACTCACAACATGCGTACACTATAAAGGGTTTGATGCTGTATCTCTACAATGTAAACGTAATTGTGCTGTGTGTTTTCTTAGACCAGGGGGATGCAAGCAGTCAAGAAATGCAGACCGGCTTGGTGTTATCTGGTGTTTTCACGTGTGCACACCAGACAAGCCTAGCGTGTTTTGTTGGCGTCGCCAGACCAAAGTTATTAAATCAATCAGTTGACAAACTCCGCGGAAAGGCTGAGTTCGAAAACTGTACTTCTCTGTTGCCTGCACTTGAGCAAGTATGGGCAGATGGCGTTCCGAGTGCCACCAGCGACAGAACTTTTAGGGCAACGCATAAGGTTGCTTTTGAACGACGTGCTTTTTGCGCAAACTCCTACGCGCAGATTATGTTTGGCATAAAAACCACAACATACTTACTTTCCACAGCCCCAAGTAGCATAAGTATGCTTTGAAAGGGAGGGGGGGGGGGGTGACGTGGGGACCACTTGGGCATCCCACCGTCGGTCTTCAAAGTCGGGCCCAAGTGGAACTCACTTGGGCAGCACACCTGAGCTGCCTCGGGAGACCCACAGGGGGTCTATTGTGGAACCCAAAGGGGGTCTACAGGAGCAGACCAGATTGGCCCCCCTAGTGGGGCCCTCAGGGGGCCTAGGGGGGGCAGCCGATATGGGACCTCCTCGTTATACTCCGCGTTGCTCCGCAATGCGCAAATCGTCCGCTTCCAAGTCGCACGTCGCGCTGATGTCTCTGGAGATCGCTCACCGTGAGACCGGTGCACACTGCTCACCGTGAGAAGGAAACGACAAGCTGAACACGGAAAAAACACGTCTTTATCTGAGCTGGAGCAGTAACCGAACTCTGGGCCCAGCGCGCGCTTTCTCTTTGAGGCGCGCACAAGTTACAGAACTCGTCATGGCCAGTGCCCTTCCTAGTATATAGGTCCACATTTGCACACCCGAATGACGCGTCCCCAGCCCATCACATGGCGGAACAGTTAGGCGGTGCCAGCATATCTAAAAATGGCACCGCGTACTCACACGGACCGCCACTGACTCAGAGGCGTCTTGGTCGTGGTGAAATTGCGAGGATAAAAGGGAACTATTTCTTTCAGTCTTGCCTTCGCTAAGCTTGATGATGTGCGCGTGAACGTAGTTTTGCCTTTTGGCAAGCCTGTAATTGCACGCACGTGCCCGCTCAAGCAGAGACATGGCTGCGGCTACATGACCTGCTTGGAATCGTCTGAAGAGAATTTAGTAGTACCTATAGTAGAATCTTGATCGAAAAATAAAAAGTGAACCAGTCATGTTTCCGACTGATTCGCTGTCATTTCTTTGTGCAGTCTTTTGGGTTATTACACGCTATCTTATGGGGGTTGGTAATTGCGCTTTCTTTACTTACTTTTGTGGAGGTGGTACACCCAATTTAGGGCGTACTGGGAAGTCCTAACACCCTAATAAAACGGTGTACTGCAGAATCACACCTTAATTTAAGGGTGTTCGGAATAACGCCTTCATTTAGGGGTGTTAGGAATAACGCCCTTCTCTTTGGGTGTTTCGCTACACCAAGGAGGGTGCTAGTTATAGGACAGTCCATTTACGCCTTAAAGGGTGTAATGATGTTTAGTGTGTACGGTGGGGCAAGATCAAGCGCGTGCTTAGCTTCTTTCGCAGTGCTTTTTAATGCGAAAGCGTAAACGGGTCCCATGAAGCGAACCGGCGTTAACAGCTTTTAAAGCGGCGCCAAACGGCACCTAAGCTCCCCTGTCCCAAAGGAGCGAACCCTGTCGTCTGTAGCAGTGATCTGATGGACAGGCTCCCATTGGCTGGCGCGCGTCATAGTTTCAAGGAACGAGGCTCCCATTGGCTCTCGCGTGGCGTAGTTTCAAGAACCCTCTCAATGGCGTCGCAGCGGCCCGGCCGCCGGTAAGAGGGAGCGGCTGGCCGCTGAGCCCGCAGAGCCCGCGCGGGCAGACTCCTGAGTGGCTGCACGGCCGAGCTCAGCGCGGCCGGGCCACTTCACGAGAGAGCGCACTCGGCCGTCGGCCGCATCCTCGACATTAGCGAAACGTGGCCGTCCACGCCATTACGCCGCAGACGAACTAAGGGAGCGGAAGAACGACATTCATGCTTTAGAATTCACAACTCATAAGAAGTGCTGAGGTGTCCTCGGAATTTTTTTGATGGGCGAAAAGTGAAGGAAAACGAAAAGTTCAACATAAGGACCTAAAGAGAATGGCACGTTCCCTCCAAAGTATATCTTGAAGAGCCTTACGTAGACAGCGCGTTTTTGTAACGCCCACATGAGCCCAAACTCAATGTGCCAGAAAGGGAACCCCCAAACTTGCATACTGTCGATTTCTCTGCAAGTATGTCAGAGTGTTATCCGCCATAGCCGCACCTAACTCGTTCACCTCCTCTACCATCTTCTCTTACAGGGACGTCAAGAGTGGGGCGTTAGAAATACAAGAGCGTGCACGGTCCTCCATCCGCAAGGTGGTTCCATGCGACGTCCTTGAATCCGGAGTCCTTCCGGAGGAACACAGAGAAGTCTTCGACGTCGTTTTTTCCGGCGGCTGCCTGGAATCGGCCACAACAGACCACGAATCATTCCGATACGCCGTTTGCAACGTGGGAACACTCGCCAAACCCGGCGGTCTGCTTGTTCTGGTGGGCGTGGGTGGTACAAAGAGCTATCCGGTGGGAACCGCCGCCTTTGCTCAGGCAAACGTCACCGAAAACGTGATCAAACAATCCGTGAGAGATGCCGGCTTCCAGATGCAAATATACCGTACCAAGCATCATGAGGTTCTTTTAGGATTACCTGGACTCTTCACATTTGTCCTGGCGGCCCGAAAATCCTGAGTCGGCTCCTGGCCGTCCGGCCTCCCCCTCCCCCTCCCCCCTCCCTCCCCCCCCCCCCCCCCCCTTAGTGCAGAATAAAAGCTGTCAGCGCCACGGCTTTTTTTAGCCCCCCCCCTCTCCCAGGAAGGTCGCGACCCCCGCTTTCCGCACCTCAGTTCTAACTCGCACCATACGTGCCCGGGAAAATAAAGTTATGACACTGTATATCTACAATGTAAACGTAATTATTGTGCTGTGTGTTTCTTCAGACAGCAGGAACTCAGCCAAAAAAAAAAAAATCCACCAGACAGGTGTGGCGTTGGTGTTTTCGCGTGCGAATACCAGAAAAGCCTAGCGCATTCTGTTGCGGCCGCCAGACCAATGTTCTTGACTCTATAAGTACTTGTAGTTGGGCTAGTTGGCGAACGTTGGAAATCAAGGTGTAAGGCGCAAAAATCTATAAGTTGACAAGCTCCATGGAACAGCAGCATTTGGAAATTGGGACTTCTCTGGTGCCTGCACTTGAACAGGTACTGGCGGATAGCGTTCCTATAGTGCCACAAACGACAGTACCTCTACGGGCAAGCAAGGTTGTTTTCCAACGATGCTCTTTTTGCGCACTTTGTTTGCCATAAAAGAAAAATTAAAGACGTTTACAATTCTCTGTAATGCTGAATTAGAGCGCAGCTCTTGAGGAGGAGGAAGGGAGGGTATGCCCCTCCTCACCTCCTTCTCTCATGCTCTCCTCCCAATAAGCGAGAAATTTTCGCTAAATTTCGCGCTAAATTTAGCGAAAGTTTCCCTGCTAAATTTGGCGGGAAATTGACCCACGTTTTCGCGGTATGTTTAGCCGAAAATTTAGTAAAAAATTTTCCGTTGAATTTAACGAGGAAACTGAATTGGTGTTGAGGTCCCGTGACGTCAATTTTACCGCTAAATATAGCGGAAAAGTTTTCCGCTAATTTTCACGTGACGTCACAATCAATCGCGTGACGTCACGTGCGAGTAAAATTTTCCCGTTAAATTTATTGGGGTAAAATTTTCCCGCTATATTTAGCAGGAAACTTTTTCGCTAAGTTTAGCCGGGATATTTTTCCCGCCAAATTTAGTGGGAAAATTTTACCTTCGTGACGTCTTTATAAGAAACCTTCCATAATGCAACGCGCGGTTACGCCGACGGCGACGCCGCTCACCCCGGAAACAAGTGTTTAAAAGCTGCGCTAAAAAAAGAGAGAATGACGATGGCTTGTTTGCGCTTCCAGTGTCGCGAAATGTTATGAGACAAGGGTGTGTGCATGTGGAATCTACAGGGTTCCACCAATATTGTCGCGCGTCACCGCGCGCTCCGTAATGTAATGCAAAAAAAGTGACGTCACACATGTGTTCAAGGCGCTTGATGCACATAGTGACATCGCGCATGTGCCCAGGGCAGTTGATAGTGTAGGGCCGACACTGATTTCCATCATCACTGCTGTGTCAGGACCGGGCTTGGCCTCTATATCTCCGCACCGCATAAGCAAGTCAGCAAATCGTGCTCGAATTCCACACAACAGGGCAAAACTGGTCCGTAGGCAAGCAGCAAGAAAGACAAAGGTTGTTGCTACGGTAATTGAAGATAGCGTTTTCTTACCTGTGCAATGAACACGAAGTGGTCAACGACAGTCACATTGGCGATGCCACCGTGCCCACAGGGAAGTGCAAAAATTGGTTTGCTTTTTATGTTTATACAGCCTTGATGGAGATGCGCCTCAACGGGTAATCGGTCTCTTAGCTGTAGATGAGAAATTTAGCCAGCGCAGTACAACCGCTAACCTGGGTTTTTTAACGTGCATCACGCAGTATTGATCACACGAACGCGTGCCGGTACGAAACTCATCCAGATCGAAACGGGCGGGGGCGGCGGGGATCGAACCCAGGAAGTTCCCAGCGCAAGCTTTTGCTCAAAGCTCTGAGACAGGGAAGTTCAGATCGCGGATGATCTTTTATACTTGGTAGCGCTGGCTGGATGGAAAGATGGATGGTATAAAGGCTATACCCTTTGTAACGGGCGGCAGCTTGCGCGACCTAGCCTAACATTTTTCATCATCCCTTCTTTCTTTTTTTTTTTTACAGTGATTCCATTGTTTTTTTTTTTTTATTTGTATTCTTTACCCTTCCTTTGATCTTTTCCACCAATCTTCTAATCTCCTCTTAGTTACCGCAATTCCTCCCCGCAGGGGGCACCTGTGAACGCAGGTGTTTGGAGAGTGGCGTCTCCACGGACCCCGAGCCATGCGGGTTCGCCCGCCCACGTCTGACTGTGCGTGGCTTTCTCGTGTCTGGGGAAAAAGACATCCTGGTGGTTGAGCCGAGCCCGGGGTAGGTTTGAACCCTTCGGGGCCCCCCGGGTGAGGCAATACACCACTTCGGCCCCCGCTTCTCATAGACGGGAGTCCTGGTAAGGCCCGGCCAGGATGATTCAGTCTAGTCGCACTCCTTCTACTATCCCCTCCCTTCTTTCACCTTTGCCTTCTCCTTCTTTTCACTCTTCTCATTTCTCTTCTTTCCTTTTCAACTCCTTTGGCGGCAAGGGCTAACCTTGGGTGGTGACAGATACTCTCGTCCAGATCCACACTTGGTTATAGTTTCTGGGTAGCGCTAATAGAGTAATGCTTCCAGCAAAGCCATATTTGTTATGGGGTGTTACCTACTCCCTCGCTGGGCTCCGTGGTGGGCGGCGCGCCACAGATTCCGAAAACCCTTTGCCTTTTTATGGCGCCACTCTCTTCTCTACCCCGAGCAGAGCCTCCCCCGAAAAGGGTTCGCCCCGCTCCCCCTACTTTTGAAAAAGCTAATGAACCTGAAAAATATCCTCGATTTCTTGTAGTTCACTCTACAAGTGACACTGTGCTTTTGTCAAAAGTTTCTCCCTTTGTCATGCAAAGCATCTAGAACAAGTGGTCGGAAAATGTTATAAGGCAAAGAAGCTTGCTGGAGATCTCCTTGTTGAGATAAAAAATAAGCCACAGAGCACAGCACTCTTGAAGATGACAAGCCTGGGAGACTACCCGGTTACTGTCACCCCCCACCGTACCCTGAATACTGTTCGCGGTGTCATCTCAGAAGATGACCTTCTCGAATGCAGTGAAGACGAGATCCTTGAAGGTCTGCATCAAGAGTGCTGTCGTTGCTGTTTGACGAATCACCTTAAAACGTGACGGACAATAAAAACCAACCCGCCATCTGATACTCACATTTGAGCTCCATGCTCTTCCATCCACCATGAAGGCAGGGTACTTGAACTGTAGAGTCCGCCCTTTCATCCCAAATCCTCAGCGGTGTTTCCGCTGCCAACGGTTCGGGCATGGTTCCCGAAACTGCCGCGGCCGAGAAACGTGTGGAAAGTGCGGTTGTACTGACCATGTAGCAGACATCTGCGAAAATGAAGTCAAATGTGTGAACTGTAGCGGAGCTCACCCTGCTTTTTCTCGCTCCTGTCCGAAATGGAAAGAGGAAAAAGATATCCTGACTTTTAAAGTAAAGCATAACCTTAGCTACCAAGCAGCCAAAGAACAGCTTGCCTTTCAGGCAAGGGGTTCTTATGCCCAGGCAGTGTTGAGAGGACCCCCACTGTCTACGGCATCTGTGGAGACACAGACTTCTCCGGAAGACCTGTCGTCTCCACAGGGGTCCCCTTCCGAACCTCTGAAGGCGACGCACACTCAGTCACCTGCATGTTCTAAGGGTGCTGTACCCTCCAAGGAGGGTACAGCACCACTCCCTCCAAGGTACCAGAGTACCACTCCCTCCAAGGTACCAGAGGTGCCATCAGCGGACCTAGCTGGCCCTTCTGGCTGGGGTCGAGGGCTCTCTCCTCGTGCTTCCTGCAGCCACCCGAAGCCCAGGTGGACAGAACAACCTCCTCCTCCGCCCAAGGGCCCAACGCTCTCGCCGGATGAAAAAATGGACGAGAGCCTACCGCTCTCTGAAGACGACCAGCTTTTCCCTGAAACAGAGTCTCTTCCTCTGGTCTCCTCTGAGGTTGGAGGACGACCAAAGGTCACTTCTAAGAAAAAAAACAATCCCACATGTTGAGGCACCAAAAGCCCCGTAAATTTATGTTCTAGCTTTCTTTAGTATATATATATATGTATATATATATGTATATTGATTTGACTTCCTTTTAGAATATCAATGTCTCTTTTTCGTCAGTGGAACTGTAGAGGCCGCATTCCTAACTATGACGATGTGAGCCAGCTACTAGATGATCACGGCCCCATTGCATTTTGCTTACAGAAAACACATCTAAAAGCGAGCCACACTAATATATTAAAGTACTTCCAGGTGTTTCGCAAGGACCGGTTACAAGCCGTTCATTCATCTGGAGACGTTGCAGTTGTAGTGCAACGCTCAATCCCATATAGCGAAGTGACTCTGCAGACTTCGCTGGAGGCTGTGGCAGCCCGCATTTTGTTAGATCGTTTAATTACAGTTTGTTCCTTATATATACCCCCAGTTATCAGCTAAAGGTTGAGGAGCTTGAAGACCTTGTTAGTCAGCTCCCACCACGTTTTCTGCTTTTGGGAGATTTTAATGCACACAATCCTTTGTGGGGGAGTGGCAGACGAGATCCCAGAGGGGCTCTCATTGAACGCTTTCTTCTTTGCTCGGCACTGTGCCTAGTTAACACAAATGAAGCCACATATTTTAGTTCAACAACTCACACTTTCACTTCCATTGACGTATCTATTTGTCACCCATCATTATTTCCATTGTTTTCATGGATGGTCATCCCGAATCCTCACGGAAGTGACCACTTTCCCATCATTTTAGAATTTAACCATCTTCCCATGACAATCCCCACGCGCTCTCCTCGTTGGAAATTCGAAAACGCCGACTAGTCAACTTTCAAAGAATCGTCTCTTTTGGCATGCACATCACTTGACGACCTCGATATCGACAGAGCCACTGAATATATCACTCACCACACTTTACAGGCTGCCATTCTTTCCATCCCCATGACGTCCTCGCATCTACCCAGGAGACCTAAGCCCTGGTGGAACAAAGATTACCGTTTGGCCAAA